ATAAAAACCCAAAACCTAAGTGTTTGAAAAAGCATTCTTCAATGGCGTCTTCTTCATCAACAACTGCTCAGTTCCAATCTACTATGGCTGCTGTGACCTCAGATAACTTAGGTGCTGCTCCATATTCTCCTCCCAAGAGAACACTTCTAACACCTGTTGATAAATTAGAAGTCCTGTGTGAATCTATGGTTGAGTTTGATTCTCTGGCTGATAATGGGTTTGATTTTCGTTCCATTGTTAGAGCTCAAGGATGGGTTAAGTACTTTGATAGGCTGTTTGGACCAGTTTACCCTCTCCTTGTGAAGGAATTCTGGATTCATGCATCTGTTTATCCCAAGTTCATTTTATCATCTGTGCTGGGAAAAGAGATTATCATCACAGAGGATCTGATAAGAAGATTGATAGGTTATGAAGAAACAGATGGTGTTTCCCACTTGCCAGCTGGGCGTGTGGACATGGAAGAGGTTTATGAGGAAGTTATGACTGCTGGTCAAGCTTCTAACAGATTCAAAGATCTGAAGCCTGATTACAAAATTTGGGCCAAGATCTTCATGGGATGCATACATCACAGGAAGTCAACCAATTCCCCAGATTATGTCAACAATGAACAGATCTATTTTATGTACTGTCTTAGTCAGAGCAACAAGATAGATCTTCTATACATTCTGTTCATGCATCTGTGGAATCATATCAATGCATCTAGAGAATCTGTAAAAGAGAAAGGCCAGAAGATCAGGACTTGGATCCCATTTGGAAGGTTGATCTCAGATCTTCTCACTGAAAATGGTTTAGTGACTGCTCTGTACGCTGCTGGAGTTACAGAGGAATTAGAGTTTATTATGGGAAAACCTCTGAACGCTAAAAGTCTTCTGAGACTCAAAATTGTAGATGAACTCACTACTGCTCCAAAGAGGCTAAATATGTCTGATTTGAATAAGAGGGTTCCTGTAGCTGACTTTCCTCTATTCTTTGCTGAAGAACCCAGACATATAGTGCTGATGTATATAGAGGAATGCAAAAGGGAAGGAATACCTGTTCCAGCTAATGTGTTTCAGCTTGTCAAACAACCACTACCAGATGCAGGAGAAGAAGAAGAAGTACCACTTCAGAGGAAAAGGACTCAGCCTGCAGAAGAATCTGAACCTGTCCAGAAGAAGGTTAAGATTGCTGAGAAGCCCAAGAAGCTCTTGAAGAGAAAAGATTCTGGAGAAGCTGCCTCTGTACCTGCCAAGAGGATTAATGTAAAAGGTACTAAGTCATCTGTCCCTTCTGCAAATATTGTTATTAATGATTCTAATATTAAGTCTGTTCCACAACCACCTGTTACTCAAACAACTTCTGTTGCTGCCCCTAGTTCTGTTTCACCTCAAAAACAACACACTGCTTCTGTTTTAAAACCATCACAACCCAAAATACATATCAAACACTTTATTCCACGTCCATCACCATCAGAATCACAACCAACAGAACCACAGCCATCAAAACAACAACAACAATCTGATCAACCACAAAACTCTGAACATCCAGAAAACCAAACCAAAGAAGTTCAACCAGAAAAAGCTCCTAACAATCCACCATCAAACATTCCACCTTCTGAACCTGTTGCACCTGTTACTTCTGAACCCACAAAAGTAACTTCTGCTCCTGTTTCATCAGAACCACCATCCCATCAATCTGAAATTCCTTCAGAACCTACTCATATCCCTGAGACAGAAGTTCTTGATATCACTCCATTAAAAACAGTGTTTCATGTATCTTTTACCTCTTGTACACCTACAACATCCTCCAATTCATCTGAATCAGAAATTCACCCAGATTTTCTTGTCTCTCCATCCAAATACTCTGAGATGAACCAACCTGAACCTGAACCTGAATCAACCATACCTTCTAAAACTCCCATTTCAGATCCTTTGCCTCCACCTGCACCATCATCTGAGATGATTGTTCCCAATTCTACTCCATCATCATCTGGTATATCTTGTGCCCAAGTTTCTTCTCTTTATCATAATCTATCTTATGGTTTCAAACTGAAAGATTTTTATGATAGAGTTGAACCTTCTGAACCCCTGAACCCTCTGAAACCAAAACTCAGACAGGCCCTTCCATATGTGATCCTTTCCTATATTTAATCAATGAACAATGTAGGATCCTTAGCAACATTATCTGCAACCTCTGGTAAAGCTGTTGTTTCAGCTCTGCAACCTGCATCTGATAACACAGTTGCATCTGTTCAAACATCAACCTCTGCTTTCATACCATATTCTAATGAACCCTTTGATGATGTTTGCCCACGCACACGACCAAAACCTCATCTGCTTAATGCTTTAAACAGATCCTTACCTCAAAAACCAGAAATTCTTTTCATTCCATATTATCCCCCTCCTCTGATTTCCATCCAAAAATCATTTTTACCACCATATCCCAAACCTAAACATATGACTCTGGAAACCTTGCTTAAACCACAGCCCAGACTTAATATTGCTCATTTATTTCAAACATTTTTGCAAGAAAGACAGATGTCTTTAGGTACTGTTCAGAAGAGATGCTCTGAAACTATGGATGCAAATGAATCTGACATCATCTGGAAAGGATTCATCAATAGATTCAACACTGTAGCTTCCAATCTGAAGAACGTCTGTTCTGATGATGCAAAACTCAGAGCTGAAAGGACTCTATTCTGGACTGTCAACAAAACTGAACCTCTGCTTCGTTTAGATGCTCCTCCACCTCCAACAGAATCAACTGCCAATGCATTGACTATGACTCTGGTAGAACCCTCTTCAGGATCTACAGAACCTATGGCAATTGACTCTGTTCAGGCTGCAGAACCTCCACCTTCTTCATCAGAGATAAAGACAGAACATCCAGACTTTGAAGTCAAGATTGCTGCTCTGGAGGCTGGTCAGTCTGAAATAAAATCTTGGATGGCAAAGCAAGATAAGAAATCTGAAGATATGACAGAGTGGATGTCAAAACAAGATGAGAAGAATGAAACCATGACTAAGTGGATGTCAAAGCAAGAGCAACCATCATCTGAGATTACAGATCTATTGAAGATGCTTTTGTCAAAACACTCTTAGATTTTTTTCATTCTAATGTTTGTGCATCTACTATTTGCATCTGAATTTTATTGTTATATCTTCTGATGTTTACCTATATACTCCTGCTCTGTTATTTTGAATGAATCAGTTTTTCTCCATTGAATTATCTTATTTATTGTTCCTTTTATTTGTCTTTTTAAAAGTTTTTACTTTTTGCTTATGACAAAAAAGGGGGAGAAAATAAAGATCTGAACTGTTTAATATAACTTCACTAGAATGAATCTTCAGACATATCTACTCTATCTAATATTTAAATTGACTATTTCAGAACATTTGATAAGAACACTCTATAAAAGAATCTCTGAGTCTCTCAGATCATTTATCAAACTCTGAATCTTATATCTGCAAGATATTCTGATCCTAAATCGTTATAAAAACAAACAAGATCTAGCTCTGAAGATTACTCAAGACAAAAAGGGAAGTTTCTATTCCTTTTTCATATTTAATTCAGGGGGAGATTCATCATCTCAGGGGGAGTTATAATTCTTTATGTTCAGTTAAATAAAATTTCTGATACTTTTTGTCATCATCAAAAAGGGGGAGATTGTTAGAACACAGATTGGTTCTTAATAATAACTCTTTGTTTTGATGATAACTGTTAGGAAATTTATATTTAAGAATTATATACTCTAAAATTTGTTTGAGAGTTTTACTGCAGATTGAAATGAAATTAACTCTCTAGAAGCAAATCTGTTTTGAATACAAGAAATTATCCTGACTCTTAAGCGCCAGATGCAACTTACAGAAGAATCTGATTGCTCCTTACAGAAGATCCTGAGCGTAGTCTCCAGAAGGATCTGAAGCAAGAAGCTCCAGAACATTCTGAGTCAGAAGCATCTGAAGATAATCAGAAGCATCTAAAGCTGAAGCATCTGAAGCATAGAAGAATATTGATTGAAGAGTTTCTCAAAGCATTAGTCTACAGAAGTTTCTGAAAGTACCAACGCTGCCAAGTACTGAAGTTCTGTGTCAAATATGCTCTGATGATCAACACGCTGAAAGCACACCTGCTGCAGAAGACTCTGATATAGCAAAGTTCTGAATATCATTAGAAGACTCTGATTCATTCAGACTCTGAAGAACTTGCTGAAAACTGAAGAAGAAATATTCAAGAATATATCCGTTGGAGTTATTCAACGTCTCTTTCCTCATTTGTGCTAGACACACTTACACAGACAAAAAGGATTTTTCTATGCCATCTACTTCTAGGAAAGGTCACTTGATGTGAAGACAAAAAGGCTCAGACCTTTTTGGAACTCTCTTTTCAACGCTCAGCTTCCTTGGATCAGCTGCCTATAAAAGGAGAACTTCACCACATTCTTCAGTTACACAATTTGCTGAAAAGAAATCATATTACTCTAAGCTCTCATTATTTTCATATTCTTCTTAGAATCTTATTGTACTTAAACTTAAGAGAAAAATCACTGTTGTGATAAAAGCTTTATAGAAGCATTAATACTCTTGTACTTAATTTACATTGATTGTAAAGGTTATTTCTTAAGAGGATTCAGTTGGAATCAGTAGTTCTTGAGAAGACTAAGAACAGTTGTTCTTAGGTGTTACTATTGTAATCAGTTTGATTTAATAGTGGATTAAGTCCTTGTTGAGAAAGGAAAATCACTCTAGGAAGGGTGGACTGGAGTAGTTGTTTAAACGAACCAGGATAAAAATAATTGTGTGATTATTTTTCAAGTCTTAATCTTTCATACTTATTCAACCCCCCCTTCTAAGTATTATCTCACCTTCAATATATCTTTTCCGATCTGTTCTGCGAGGTCTTCATCTCGTGCCACCTAAGAAGTATTAATTGTTATCAATATAAATAAAATACAATCTCATTGAGAAATCAACACCATGTTTCTAAAGGCACAAACAAAACAATTTTTTAGGGAAGCAAGCTTAGGAAACCTTTATAATAGTGTAGAGGTGAGTCTCTGCCTCTTCTTTACTTTGGTGCTTTTTTCCACCATGTTTTTTCTTTAACCTCTTCTGCACAAACCCGTTGTACAAATCCAGTGCAAATATTTCAGAATAAACCAACAAAAATAGTGCAGTAGAGATTGAAAGCTACGAGAAAATGAAGCTTGGTTTGATTTGGCTAGAAATACTCATAAGGAACTTCTCTTGAGAAAAACAAAATTATTGGTTTAAGCAGACTTCAAATTTGTGCCGAAAAAAATGACATACTTTCGGTAAAGAACAGTCACGAGTTCATTGCAATATCTGAATATTTACTTCCATATATCTATCATTAAAAAAATTAGCCTAGCTTGGTTTATTTTGGGGCCTATAAAGCACATAGGAATATCTACTTACCCTTAAATGCTCAGCAGTGTCTTTCTCATCCACCTTGCATGTTACTTCAACTACAAGAGTATCATTCACAAGGTACCTTCTACGAGGATCATTCAATGTACTGAGAGGTATGAAGGATGTGAAACCCCAATCACTTTCTTGTTCATTGAATCGGTGTTGCGTGTCTACACAGTGGAAACAAAGTCACAAATATAACACAGCCATGCCCAAAAATTATGTGCATTTTCAGTTTTTCTCCCGCTTTCAGAGAAAATGGCGGTGCAACTTAAATTTTTCAAGAATAAAATTCTCTTTCAGTAAATGTAACAAACATCTTGCATGCATGGTACTTCATTCTGTAACAACGGTAATGAACAAGCTGAATAGGATACCTTTTGTCACAGAGTAATCATTGTTGATTTGATTAACTACTGTCAAGCTAAACTCTCCATAACTACTCCAACCACTCGGCAACTTAGCTGAATTCGCAACATCCAAATACATCGACAAATGGTTCTTCACATTGTTCCCTTTCGGGAAAATTAGTATGCGCCTGCTCAGAGAGAGAAAAAAAACATCAAAAGGGATCACTAAAGATAAACATTGTGAATAGATTTGATGACTGTGTAAGCACAATACCACTTGTAACCCCCAACTTCAAATACATCTGAGTAGAGCTTTAATGTATTTATCCAAGAAAATCCGTGAATTCTCCATGTGAATCGAAATGGTGAAGAAGAATCCTTGTCAGGCTGACTATCCACAATGTTGGCAGTTTCAGGTTCAGCAACAACTAATGTTCATCAATATAAATAAAAAGAGAATGAATTTGGTTATGCAATTTGGGAGAATGAATTTCGAAGTTCGCAAACTTGATTTCAAAACAAATGAACATATACACATATCAATGATTCAAAATGGATCACATTGAGTACCTTTATATGTTGTCTTTCTTTTCTTAGTTTTAGGAAAAGTAGCTGCAGGAAAAGTTTTCGTTTCATCTTTGCTACTACCAGCTGCCATCAATCAAGTCTGTGATTTAGTAAGCAAAAAAACGACTTATTAATTAAGCACTTTTACAGACACTTTTAACTTCTAAAGTTCTAAGTGCATTTCAAAATAATACATAAAAACCAGCGAGAAATTAAGGAATGTTAGGTTTGAAGAAAAGAACTGTTACATTTACTACTTTCAAAGATTAACATGGGAAGGGAGTTGTGGGGCCGTGGGAAGGGAAAATTCAGGATTTGAGGAGGGGGGCATACGTGGGGAAATGGGAAAGTCAGCAGAAGTGGGAAAAGAGACATGAGAAGGCGTGGGGCAGTCTTTTGGAAAGAGTGGCATGTGGGTTAAGGCATTGGGAAGATGGACAGTTGGGGGACAAGGTGGGACACGTGGCCTTGGGAAGAGGTGAGTAGGTGGGGATGTGTGAAGGAATAAGGGGATAGTCGTTAAGAGATGCATGCATATTTGGTTTAAAATTTAATGGTTCACCTAAATTATCAGACTTTTGCAAGTGAGGTTTTTCTTGCGTTTCTCTCTTCAGCTGGACTTTACCACCATGAAACTTCTTTGAATTCTTCTTTTCTTTCGCCATGTTAATGGCGCTACCTTGAGCGGTCACAGTGGTGTTGTTTACCTCCACCTCTGTGTGTGTCATCATGCTCATCGCGGCGAGGTTCATGTTGCATGGCGGAGTCAGAATTGAAACGCAAAACATCCGTTGGAGGAAGAAGAATGGGATCTGGTGAAGGTGTTGCGTGATAGGGTCGTAATAGGGAGACATGCACGACCGGGTGTATACGCGATGATGAAGGAAGATCAAGCAAGTATGCGATACTACCGACACGTTTGATGACTTTGAACGGTCCAAAAAACCGTTTGGAGAGTTTCTGGGATGACTGCCGGTCCACTGTTGCAAGACGACGATATGGCTGTAGTTTTAGTAAAACGAGATCACCCACTTGAAAGGTATGGTCCATTCTTTATCTGTTTGCTTGCTTTTCCATTTGGACTCTGCTTTTCTTTAAATGATCTTTTAATTGATTGAGAACATCTTGTCTTTCTTGCATGGATACATCCAAGGAGGAAACTGTAGTGGTGCCGTCGAGATAGTCAGGGATGGTCGGAGGGTCACGACCATACAAGACTTTGAACGGCATCATCTGGATAGCAATATGGAAAGACGTATTGAACCAGAACTCAGCAAGATGCAAATATTTGAACCACTGACGCGGGTGTTCACCTGTTAAGCAATGAAGGTATGTTTTGATAGACCGATTTACAACTTCCGTTTGACCATCTGTTTCTGGATGATAAGAGGTGTTGTACTTCAGGGTAGTGCCTTGGAGCTTGAAGAATTCCTTCCAAAAGGTGCTCAAGAACAATGGGTCACGATCCGAGACTATGGACTTAGGAGTTCCATGCAGGCGGAAAATTTCGACAGCAAAACGTGAAGCAAGATCCTTCGCGGTAAATTTGAAAGGCAAAGCAAGGAAATGCGCATATTTTGTCAGTCGGTCGCAGATGACCCGGATGGTTGTGTAACCGAAAGAGTTTGGCAGATGCGTGATGAAGTCCATAGTGAGTTCTTCCCAAACTTTGTGAGGTATGGGTAGAGGTTGTAACAGGCTTTTCTTTTTTTGAGTTTGGTATTTGTTGTGTTGACAAATGTCACAATGTGTGACCATTGTTTTTACTGCGAGGGAAAGACCAGGCCAGCAGAAGGACAACCGAATCCGAGATAATGTCGCCTTGACACCCGAGTGGCCTGCAGATGGGGTTGCATGATACTCATTGAAAATGTTTTGGCGAAGCTAGGAAACATCAGGTATGAAGATCTTGTCTTTGTAGTAAAGGAGTCCATTTGTGAATTTATACCATGTTCTGTTGACATCCTGTTCGTTGAACTGGTGAACTAACTGTTGTCCTGCACTATCTTTTTCATAGAACTGGCGAAGAGTTGTGATGAGGCTTGGAACAGGGGAAGACAAAGCTAGCAAGTGAGGTGCATCAGTGCAGTACTTGCGACTTAAGGCATCAGCAACAAGATTTGAGTGTTCGGGCTTGTAAGTGATATCAAAATTAAACCCTTGTAGTTTAGAGGCTCATTTTTGTTGTTTTGGGGTTTGAATTTTTTGCATAAGTAGATTTCTTAGGCTTTTCTGGTCTGTATAAATGTGAAATGTTTGGCCTATTAGATACTGACGCCATTTTTTAACAGCTTCAGTGACAGCAAACATTTCTCGGACGTAAACGGACGCAGCCTGCATTCTGGGGCACATTTTCTTGCTGAAGAATGCAATAGGATGGCCATCATGGGACAAAACAGCACCAATTGCTACACCCGAAGCGTCGGTTTCGATGTTAAAAGTCTTTGTAAAATCTGGTAGAACCAGGAGCGACATGTCGGTCGTATGTTTTTTTAATTCTGTAAAGGCTACTGCAGCCTCTGGACTCCATGTAAACTTAGTGGATTTAAGCAGGTCGGTGAGAGGAGCAGCGAGTGAGGTGTAGTTACGTACAAATCGATGGTAGAAACCGGTGAGGTCCAAAAATCCGCGGAGTGTCGTGAGAGAACGAGGTGGAGGCCAATCCAAAATGGCTTTGACTTTGTTTGGGTCAAGTGCAACACTACCCACAGAGATGACATGACCCAAATAATCAATTTCTTTGACTGCAAAAATACACTTAGACAATTTCACAAAAAAAGAGTTAAACTTCAACAAGTCGAAACCACCTGCAAATGAAGTAAATGGTCTGTGAAATTAGAACTATAATCAAAATGTCGTAAAAAAAAACTAAAACAAAACGCCTTAGGTAAGGACGTAGTAAATCGTTCTTTGCGGATTGGAAGGTTGAGGAGGTGTTGGTAAGTCCAAAGGGCATAACCAGAAATTCGTAATGCTTAGGGCTGGCAATGAACCAAACCAACTCGAAGATAGTTCGGAATTCGAATCGACAATTAAATCGTTGAACTAGGTTCATGAATCAAATGAGTTGAGTATGAGCGAAAAATTAAGTTCGTTAACTAAATGAGCTGAACTTGAACTATATGATCGCGACTTTCTATGTCTAATACAACTTAACTGCAAGTGCACAGTCTATCGCGTAGTAATAAAAGATATCGATCCCACAAGGACTCGTAATCAAACTAGTGTTCTCGGGAGTTACTATGTTTAGCTAGGTAGATAATGTTTAAGGGAATAATTGCTATTACTAAAGGGAACTAAAAACGTTACTTGAATTATAATTACGCGAATCGATATGCAATAATTATGTTCGTCGGGGATTTGACAGGTTACCGGTATATAAAATATTTTCAGAATTTATTTAAGAAGAAAATAGTGATCTAAAGACCTTCGTCTCACGATGGTTGTTGATGCTAGTCGCAACTTTAAGGCGGAACGTATTCTGTCGCTATCCAGTTCGGGGTTAAAATCGCTTTTTGGAAATCTCTAAGTTCTAATCTATTTTAAAGCGCTTTCGCTGTTATTAAAACAAATGCCTAGTGTTTACTATCTGGTCCTAGCCGCAGCTGTCGCTTGTTGGTTCGTACCTTAATTAATTTTCCACTGTCGTGGCAAAACTACTTTTAAATAAGTTCTCGCTGTCGCGACGAACGTTTATTCAGGAAATAAATTTAAACACTTAAGCCATAAACAACTTTTGAAAAAGAAAGGTTTTAACCGGTTATTATCAAATCTCGTCTGAATTATTATTACATACCGATTACTCTGGTTTAGCTAGACATGGATTTGGAATAAGTAAAGCGTAAATAAAAGCAGAAATTTAGAACATTCATACTGCTGGGAATTAAAGTTACAATTAACGAAATAATAAAAACCTGTAACGTATCCAATTGGCTTTTGGCCAAATCCCAACGATGTCGGCAGGATTATGTCTTCAAACCAATAGAGTGCACAAATGAATATTGCAGAAATGGAATACAGGAAAAAGGAAAGGAAAACAAAAGCAAGACTTAAACTAAATTTGCTCTGGAAAATAATTTGGGCAACACTTTGTTATCGGAATGCGGCTCCCTTTCTCAGCTCCCCTCCTTCCCCTTTTATAGAGGTGAAATGCTAACGGTTATAATTTGCAGAAGGTGGACTTGGAGTCAGAAAAATTAGGGAGTAGTGGTCCATTATTTTGGGACTTGGAACTGGTTTTTGCACGTCAAATACAGTTTTGCGTTTTTGCCTGCATGACGGTCGTCATGGTGTGTGACGGTCGTCACCCGTGTGACGGTCGTCATGGAGATGTGACGGTCGTCACAGCAGTAAAATGCGCATCTGCTGTTTTTCATGTTGTTTTCATCTGGTTTTCGTCCATATTTCATCTGTAATTGCTTCTTTTCTTCATATTGCTTTGTTTGGACATGATCTTCAAATACCTGCAAAATATCAGACAACTAACATGGAAAAAACCCGAAATTGGATTGAAACCAGTCAGATATTAGTTGAATTATACGTCAATATATATATACGATTTCGCGTTATCAAACTCCCCTAAGCTTGAATCTTTGCTTGTCCTCAAGTAAAAACACGAAGAATAAAAGTCGGCACGCACGAGGCAGCTTCCTCGTTCAGAACGTTGGGAAAAATCGGGATTCTAAATAGGAACAAAACAAGTACGGTGACGACACTGGACTATAAATCTTCGGAGGCCTCCTTTTTATGCAAATCGGTCCCAATCACGCTATTGCAGCTTGGTATCAAGGTTCTCGCGTCAAGTATACCCTGTTTGTTCTAGCGCAAGCACATTAAGCCTGTTATCCATACACTTTCATGGCAAGTCAACCTGTTAGTGAATATGATCTCATTGCTGTTTTGATCTTTTCATTGCTCATAAGCTTATACTGTTGATTTTTCAATGAGTTTTTGTACCGTTGGGCTAAATGCTCGGGTGAGGAGCACCTAACTTAGAGGGAACATGTCTCTATACTCGGGTTATATGGCTTTCTTTTCATGATTTTTCATCTTTTTAGAGATCATACAGTTATTTGCATTGGTCGCTCGCTT